CCAAGATGCACCCAAGACGGCCCAAGATGCACCCAAGACGGCCCAAGCTGGGCCAATATGGCCCAACAGGCTCCGAAGAGGCCTCCAAGACGGCCCGACAAATCATCAAGAGGTCCTCGAGGAAGGCCCGAGGAAGCCAAAACCCTGGAATTTCCTAAACAGATTTTTATGTTAAAACGGATTTTCACATTTGCTTCAAAACGACCTTCCGACAGTCCAAGACGACCCCAAGTGGCCCCCAAGGCTGCCTCAAGATCGCCCGAGGCCTCCAAGATGGCCCCAGGACGGCCTAAAAGGGTCCCAAGACGGCCCCCAATCCCAAGAGGGCCCCAAGACGGCCCAGAGAGGTTCCCAAGATGGCTTCCGATGGCGTCGGACGCGCCAGGAACGCCGCAAGACGGCCGAAGAGACCCCCGAGAAGCCCCCGAAGGCCCCCAAGAGGCCCAAGGAGGCCCCCAAGAGGCCTCCAAAGGTGCCCCCAGGAAACTCCAAGGAGACCTCAAGAATGACGCACGAGGCTCCCGAGAAATCTCATCCTTTTCCTCCTCCTCCTCCTCCATGTCCCTCCCTCTCTTCATCCTCCTCTTCCTCGCCCACGTGTTCCCCAGACGGTTTCCACAGCGGCTGGGGGAACACCTGGTCCGATCTTTTGTTCAAGCTCTGGACCCAAACGTTTGGCCATAGAGGCGCTTTTCAAAAAGGCAAGTGGCGGCGGTGATTCGCCGTCGGCGTCTTCGATACCTGGAATCGCTGAAGTGTTGACTCTCGAACGGGGACTAGGTGTTCAAACATTTAAGCATTAGAATCCCGCTGAACTTGACACGGGCCCCTAACGAGTGGCCTGCTTCTGCTTCCGACAAGAACAAGATCTGCGCAATCTCTCTTGGTGACGACCGCAGGTCCCGTAAGGGGAACCCATCCCGGGGGGAAACGCTGCCCAGACGAACGGCGAGTGGTCGACTTCCGCCTGTGGTAACTTGATTAGCTCGATCATCTAATTTGAAATTCAACTATACGGTGGGGGCATTGGATCCGGAAACCTTCGATAAGGAATCCAGGGTCTGGAAGTCAGTGGAAAGCCAATCTTGGATTGGCCATGGATATCACCGCCGCCCTCATCAGAGAAGGAACCCTCCAGGGTCTGAAGCCTCCTGGGCACGTTCATTGACGAACGCCCCCACCGTATTGATGGATGCGTGGCGAACGGAATTGTAGTCATGCCGCTGCACTGGTAGTACCATTTCCACGTTTGCCGACCAGGAAAGAACAACATCACTTGGCTTGTACTTACTTGTTTCTTCTGCTGGACATGCAGACTATGTCAGAACTGCTGGCTTTGGAGAGCAGCACGTCGATCTTCAGACATCGATCCTCGAATGCCTTCCGATGTGACAAAACAAATATGCACATTACTGTGCGACTGTGGAGCACATATGATGTCTCCGGCTTCAGGGCCTTAGAATGCACGAGGGGGCCTGTCGGTGTCTTGCGGCTGTCTGGGAGGGTACTAGGGCCAGGGCCGTTTTGTCGGGTCTTCGGGTCAGAACCGTCTAAGACGAATTTGGACAATCTTGGGCTGGTCGTGGAGCGTTTGAGGACCCTCGTGTGTAAGAGATGGTGCCGCACAATATCCTAGCGTGGTCCCACCTGGGCGTCCTTGCGAACTCTGCCCATCCTGACTCTGTGGTGTAATCCGCCACTGTGCCTCTGGGCACGGAGTGGGCGTGTCCTCAGATCCTTTGCCTACTCCCCTGAGCCTCAGTCCTCATCCTGAGGATTCTTAGAAGGCCCGGAGCCCAAATTTTCAAATCTCCTGGGGCTTGCCGCATCCTGTCGGGGATCTGGCGCATCTTCTCACATGACTTGTTCGGGCCCAAGAGGGCCTCAACACGAACCCCAGAGAGCCCCAAGAAGCCCCTAAGACGGTCCAAGAGGGCCCCGAGTCGCCGAACGATCGCCCCAAGACGTCCAAGACGGCCTCAAGACGCCCCCAGAAGCACCCATAACGCTTCAAGAGGCCTCCAAAGATGGCCCCAAGAGGCACAAATCATTGATTTGTTCTCGCCATTTTGGCTTCCCGACGCTCCAAGATGGCCCAACAGACAAGATCGCCCCAAGACAGCCCCAGAGGCCCCCAATTGGGCCCCCAGACGGCCCAAGGGGGGCCCGATACAACCCAACAGGCCCTCAGTGGGCCCAAAGATGCCCCAAGAGGCCCCCAAGATGCCGCAAGAGGCCCTCAAGAGGCTCCCAAGAGTCTCCACAACTGGCCCCAAGAGGCCCCCGAGAGTACCCCGAAGAGACCCCAAGACGCATTCCTGAGAACTCTGACCAACAACCCAGGCACGGTGGCGGCATGGGCCAAAGGCCATTCGATAGAAATGCGGCGGGTGGTCAGAACCCGCGCGGTCGATCCGCTTGTTTTCAGCAGTCAGTCTGCAGGAATGGCGATGATCGGAGAAATGAAAGGAGCAAGAGACAAAGAAAATATGGAGATGTCCTGTGCCTCAGAATGTTGAGCGCGTCTAGAACGTAGACTTCGTCGCAGCCCTTGCCGGTGTGACGAGGTCGTGTAGACCTGAAGCGGGGCGTGCGTTGTGGGGCGCACGTCGCATACACGTATTCATTTGTCGTGCAATCGAACATCTTGTGCCTACTGTCAATGCACGAACCCAACTAGTCAACTAGTCAGCGAAGTCGCTTCAGCGCCTGTGCTGCTGCAGTCTGCACGCCCACGTCTTCGTCGTCCAGGCAAGCCTCAACGACCGCAACGGCACTCTCGTCGCCTCGGTCGGCTATCTGCACGAGGGCTCGCAACGCCCCCTTGCGCACTCCTGCGTGCCAGTCCGTGAGGCAGACGACGACCGCAGACCGTGCGGCCAAGCGGTCCGCACCCAAGCTCCTGCCGGCAACGGCGGTAAGCGCCTCCAGCGCGGCGAGGCGCACCTCAACGCTGCCGTCTGCCAGCCGGTCGGCCGCAGCAGACACCACAGTGGAGTCGATGGGGTCTGCCAGCTGTGCGAACGCGCGCAGAGCGCTGCCCCTGACCACGGCTGACTCGTCTTCCAGGCACCCCTTCACCGAGCAAAGCGCGCGTGCGTTACCTCTCTCGGCGATCTGCAGGAGCCCCTCCACAGCCGCGGCCCTGACACTCATCTCCCCGTGCGCCAGGCAGGCCGACAGGGCTTCGACAGCAGCCGCATCGCCGCGAGCTCTTCTTGCTAAGAAGCCCTCCATGGCCCGCAGCAGGACGTTGTACGAGCTCCTCTGCCCGCAGCACACAAACTTGTCGGTCATGTGCGGCACAATGGCCTCCAGAGCTTGGGCGCTGCCCCCCTTCGCAAAGGCGGCGAGCGCAGCTGCTGCGCTGTCCCTGACGCCGCGCTCCTTGTGCGCCGCGAGCGCCGAGGCGGTGGCGACGGCGTCGGGGCAGGTCCACGCCACGCTGCCCGACAGACCCTGCACGGCAGCCTCGCGGACCACCGCGCTGGGATCGCCCAGGCAGCCTGCGAGCGTCCGCGAGACCCCCACGCCTGGCGCGGCTTGCGGCAAGCGTGCCAACGCAGAAACTGCAGACTGTCGGACCTCTGCGCGCTCGTGCCGCAGTCGTGCAGTGACCGCGGCGACCACCTCCTCTTGGCAAATGCCGCCCTGCTCTGCAAGCCGAGCGAGAGCGCTGCCGGCCGAGCCCCGAACAGCGGCATCACCATCCTCGAGGCAGGCGGCAACGAGGTGGAGCCGCTGCACGCCGGCTCCCAGATCCTGGTGAGCCAGCCGAGCGAGGCCCTGCAGTGCGGCACGGCGCCGCCCGGAGCCGGCGGGCCCACACAGCTGCGCAGTCAGCCTGGCGGCGAGCAGCCTGCAGAAGAAAGCCGCACCCTGGGCGCCCGCCAGCCGGAGTGCGGCGAGCTCGGGGGCCCCACAAGCGTCCCAGCATCCCGACAGGGCAGCCCAGGAGATCTCCAGGTGGCCCTGGGTGGCCGCTGGCCCCGTGGTGGCGGCCACTGCAGACATCGCGCCGAAGCCCGGAGGCGGAGCCGGACCGTCGACGTGCCCGAGCCGATAAGGCTGAAGCCCAAATGGCCATAGACCCCTCGGGAACTGCGCTGGGCCTGCGAGGGGCAAAGGAGAAACGCGGGGCACATCAAGCGACCCACGCTTGACGAGAAGCGGTGGGCAGAACGCTCGGACAAAGAGGAGGACGCGCACTGGACTGTCATCCGGCATAGCTTTTGAGGACCGTCCGCGCGCGCCTGCGACTAGACGAGCATATCCGCCACCGCGCCTCTGGGCACGGAGTGGGCGTGTCCTGAGCTCCTGTCCCGAACCGAGCCCCCTAATAAGCCTCAAACCTCAATCCTGAGCCCACTAGGGTCAGGACCTTGTGGGGTCATCTCGCTTGACTTTTTCGGAGCCTAGAGGGCCCCAGGACATACTATGGGGGCCCCGAGGCCCCAAAATGGTTCAAGGTCCCGAGTCGCCGAACGGTTGCTCCAAGACGCTCAAGATGGCCCCCACACGGCCCAAGAGGTCTACAAGACGCCCCCAAGAGGCCTCCAAGAGGCTTGCCAAGAGGACCCCACGATGCCAAAATCATTGATGTTCCTTAGGTTTCTCAACGGGTTTGGCCTATTCGTCTTCTCGGTTCACCCACGCTCCAACACAGCCTGCCCAAGACCGCCTCAAGGCGGCCCAAGACGCCCCCAAGAAGGCAGGCCCAAAGACTGCCTAAAAAGCGCCCAAGGCGGCCCAAGAGAGACCCAAGACGGTGCCAAGAGGGGGACCACGAATTCAAGCTCCAGGAGGCCCCAGGAAGCCCCAAGAGCGCCCCGAGAGGTCCCACGAAGTACCCAAGAGGCCTCCAAGAGACGCCCAAGTGGCTCCAAGAGGCACCAAGACGGCGCCCCAGCGGGCTCAAGTGTCCCCAAGAGACCCCCGAGAGGCCTCCCACGAGATCCCAACCAACTTTCAAGAGCCCACTGTCGTCGTCGTCGTTGTCGTCCTCTCCTTCTTCGCCCACCATATCCTATTCATGCGTGACGCGCCAACAGAATTTGGGCCCACACGTTTACAGAAGTGAGGGGGCTGAGCAGCCAAAACATTACATACTTTCTCAAACGCGTGACCCTCTTGCGCTGAGCGGACGTCATAGCCGCGCTCTCATTCAAACGCCTGCCAATGGCGGTTCAGATTCGCAACTCTGCAGCGCTTCCACCACACAGCTCAGACGCGCAACCCAGCCACGCTCTAATGACATTCTTTCGCCGCGATAACAAAACGTACCCCAGATACGCAGTGTTGTACAATAATGGCCGAGGAAGCTTCCCGACAGCCCACGCACCTTCTCAGATGCTCCAAGAGGCCGACAAGACAGCGTTGATACACGCTCAAACGCGGCCCCCCAGAGGCTTCAAAACTGCCTCCAAGATCCCCCCGAAAGGCCTCAGACGAGATCCCAACGACCATCCAATAGACCTCATCCCTCCTATCCCCACCCCAACACGGTGGCGGGATGAACGCGACGGCCACTAAAGACAGCCGGGCAGTGGCAAAGGTGAGGCTTGGCAAGACCGGGTTTGGCGATGTGTGCCAGAGGGGGGGGGGCCTGCGGCGCCGCGTCGAGTCGCTGCAGAGCGAGCCCCCCGCCGCGCGCGCTGCCGTCAGTCGAGCAGCAGACGGGCAACGCCAGGCCTGGTTTGACGAGTCTGTCCAAGGGGGCCGCAGCCCGCGCGCCCAGGCGCACAAGGTGGCATATACATATATGTGTGTGTATGCTTTGGGGTCTCCGAGCCCGTCGCTGCTCGGCTTCCGTGGGTCCTTGCTGGATCCAGCTCTCCTCATCTGCTGCAGTCGGCACGCACGTGCGCCTTCCATGGAGCATGACCGACGGTCGAGTGGGAGAGCTGTCGAGCAAGTCTGGCTGCACACGATCGCCGATTCCCCATCCTGAATTCGGTAGTCGTTTGTAAGAGCCCGTGTGATGATGCTTTGGCAGCGCGAGGAGGCCTGTTCCTTACCGCCCCGATGCTCGTTCCAACATGCCTCTCGCGAGAGCACTAGACGTGTACAAGCTGAAGGTTATATCACCAGAGTCTGCAGGCGAAAAGGTCTCGCCCACCCTCTACCACGGCACTCCCTCCTCATGCTCCTCCTGCCCCTCCTGCCCCCCCGACCAAACCAAAAGGTTCCGATACTACTGCTTCCCGGACCTGTCCCAGGGTGCGTTCTGACCAGAATCTCGATGCGAATCCAGCGGTGGCGACAAGGGAGAGGCAGCAGGCAGCGGTATGGGTACCCTTTCATCCCCTGATCTCCTGCCCACACCTTTCTTCTCCTCCCCCTCCTCCTCCTCCTCCTCCTCCTCCTCCTCCTCCTCCTCCTTCTCCTCCTCCTCCCCCCCTCCCTCTCCCCATCCCCCTCTCCTCCTCCTCTTCCTCCTCTTCCTCCTCCTCCTCGCCCCATCTCCCTCCCCCTCCTGCGGAGAACGATGGGGCAGCCCCTGCCGCCCGCACGGGGCCTGGGAACGCTGCCGCCCTCCTCGTGCGCCAGCGGCCGCTTGGCGCCCCGCGCCTCCTGCGGGCCTCCGTGCTCTGGCACGCCAGCCTGCCGCAGCCGAGAATCTGCGCTCCGCCCCGAGGCCCAGCCGCACCAAAGAGCACCATCACAGAGCACCCCGCAGGCCTCGATCACGATTCCCCTCCACCAGCCGCACCAACCTCGGCGCTCGACTGCTCACATGCGCCTGCGTATGCTTCTCCGTCCGAACCTGCGCCTGTGCAATTTTGCTCAGAGCGCGTGCGCATTTGAACCGACACATTCCCCCTACTCCCCCTCGCTTCCATCTTTTTCTCTCCAGGAAGCTTCCAAGGACCTCCAGAGACGTCCATGGCATCTGAAGGCGTGCAGACACCTCCGAAAGCCTCCAGAAAACCTTCCAACACGACCTCCTGCCCCCCCACGGGATGGTGGGGCGCCAGGAGAGAGGGAGGGCCCCGAGGAGGAGGGAGGAGGTTGGAGGAGGGAGGCGAGTCTGGGAAGGAGGAGGGAGGAGCAAGACGAACATCAATGGAGGCCAGCGTGTCTCCACAGTCGCTGCTTGAATCGGTCTTTGGGCCAGCATGCAGCCGAAGAGTGGCGGTCCGCCCCTGCCCTCGCGCTCCGTCCCCTCTTGTTCACAACGCTCCCCGAACTAAGCGGGCGGCACTCTTACCGTGTCCTGTCCCCATCCTGCGGCTTGGAACCGCTGCACGATGGAGGGGGCGCCAAGAGGAGGAGGAGGAGGAGGAGGAGGAGGAGGAGGAGGAGGAGGAGGAGGAGACGACGTAACCAAGAAGGTCCGTCCGACCGCCAACCTCGACCTCGGTCGACGCGAACGCATCGACAGAGGGAGAGCGGGTCCCAGCTGGGTGGCGCTTGGGTTCATTTTCGGCCTCCCGAAGGGCGTCGCAACCCGTTGCCACTTCCGCCACCAGGAGGGCCCGCGCAAAAAATGGCGCTCGCAGCAGACCAGATGTGAGGAGATTCGCCTCGCGAACGAGGGCAAAAAAGAGGGTGGAAGGACAGAGCCTGTCATTGCATGACAGGCCCCACCCCCCTAAAGAATGAGCCGAGAGGCGCAGGGCACTGCGGGAGAGTCATCGACTGCAACATGCCAACGCCTCTGGTGCCTCTGTCAATCCCACATCCAACCCATGCCCGTCCTGCCCCAGCCCCTCCGAGAGATTGAGAGTGCACGCGGCGCTGTGCGAGAGAGGCCTCGATCGCACAGCAAGCTAGGTTATGAATGTGACCCCCACCCCTGATATTCACACCGGCCCAACACGAATAAAGAAGAGGGCACGTGCTTATCTTTCGAGTGCCAACTCTGCGGCACCTCGAATGTCGGTGGCCTGCTGCAATGTCATAGTTTGCGCCCTCGGCGCTTTATGGTACATCTGGAAGGCAAGTGCTGTCGCCTTAAGGCACTCGGCTCGACTGAGCTCGGCGCCTTCGATCTGATAATCGCTCTCTTCCCCGAGGCCTAGGAGAGTGAGCGGGCTGGCTGGAAAGTGCCTGCGTGCCCATGCTGGGTGGCAGGCGCAATGATAATATAATCTTGGGCAGTTCAAATAGTGCGATATCGCATCTGGGGCAGTGCACCCCCAGACGCAGCTGGTTGGGGGGTGCCCGATATGGAGTCTGTGGGTGGTCGTCCACGCGCCACACAGCGTTTTGAAAATGCTCCACTGCCAGGACGGCTTGAGGGTCGCAAGGCAAGTTTTGCATGCAGCCCACCTCCCAACGACCGACCTCAGCCCCCCAGGAATCTCCACTTGCCAAGCGAGCAGCCTCTTGCCAAGAGTGGTGTGAAAGGAATCGGGAAAGGCAAATGGGCGGAGCGTGCGTGCAAATATCCTCTGCGGATGAGGGCGAAGGGCTTCCTGTTCCGCACGTGCGGTGTGCTCGCGCGCTGCTCGAAATGCATCTCGCCACCCAGCAGCATTAGGGAAGCGAGGAGGCGGCAACCTTGAACGTTCTAGAAATTGGGCGATTGAAAATGGTCGCCGCCAGCACGGTGCCGAGAACTTTCCTGCAATAATGCGAACGATGGTAGCATTGTCCTGCGCATGCTGCTTCAGGCTAGACAACGCTCTCTGCCAAACATGATTCAGTGTGCGAAATGATGCACGCCATGCACTAGCCCAGCCAAGCAGCTGGACAGAGGACGGGGCAATGGCTAAAAACGATGGGAGGGCATTCAGATCGGCGAGGCTGAGGCTGTTCGGCGGGAGCCTGAGCAGCTTGTGCAATGCCTGATGCTCTAGCTTACGAATCATGGCGGGGATCGGAAAGAGCTGGGCAAGATACGACAGGGTCGAGAGGGCAGTCGTGTTGTACAACATTGACAGAACAGACGGCGCAGCCCCTGAGTGTGGTAGCGCAACTGTACGCGTCCACCATTTCTCCGCTGCTGGGGACCAAATCATACTGAGAATTGCCTCGGGACCCATTTCGACCCCAAGATAAGTCGTGTGGCCAGCGATTTTAAAGTTGGCCCATTCAGGAATCAACCGACGGAGCTCACTTCGGACCGCGTCCTGGATTTCAGGCGTGCATTCGGTCCAAAGGGGGACCAGGACGCATTTGGCTCCTTGAAGCCTGAGGCACGCAAAACGCTCGACGTCCCGAAAAACTTTGGCCACAGGGACCAGGTCCTGAAGGCGAGGCATCACCATCCCCACGTCGTCCGCACACCCGCCCAAAGAGCCCTTGTGGTGCCTCGCCCTCGGGAGCTGCGTGGCAGCATGAAGGCATCTAAGGATCGGATCCATTGCCAATGCCCATAGCGAGCCAGACAAGGGGCAGCCCTGGAGAACTCCAGAGCAAAGATGAAATAAAAAGACGATCTGATTTTGGATCCGAGCGAAGCCTCTAGGGAGGAAGTAGAGGGCACGAATGAAGTGGAGGAAGCCTGTCGGGAGCCCAGCCCTACTCAGAATCTCGAACAGCCACTGATGGCCGAGGGACGGGAAGGCCGCCTCCACATCGTAGGCGGCGAAGATCGGAAGGTCCTGGGCAGCCTCTGGGTTGATGCTCGCCTTTCGGGCCTCGGCATCCAGCGTGACGATATTCGACAGGAAGTTACGGCCTGGGATGAAACCTTGTTGGGACTCATGGGCGCTCTGTTGGGCAACCTGACGGATCTGAAAGTTAGCAGCAGATGCCATTATCTTTGTGTCCGTGTTCCTGAGGCTAAGAGGACGGACCTTTGCAGGTGACCGTATACATCCTTGGGCATCTTCGGGCTCCGAACCTTTAGGGAGAAACGCGAAGAGGCTGTCGTTGAGCTCCATGGGGACTGCGTGGCCTCCAAACAGATAAGTCATGAGATTGTGTAGCACTGTTAGTTGTTCTGGGCGAGCTTTCCATGCTGTGTACGAAAGCTGGTCGGGTCCAGGGGCCGAACGTCGCGCACATCTGAGAGCACGTCCTAAATCACCTTCTGTTGGAAGTCTAAGAGGTAGAAGGGGACGCGGTGGGGCAACTCGATCAAGATACTCCTGAAGGGGCTCCTCCTGGACTAGTTTCGCACCGAAGATGGACTTCCAGTGGGAGGTCAGGGCGATGGCGATCTTTTCGGGGTCACGGGCGACTGGTGAGTGCTGAAGGCTCTCGGGTTTTATCCCCGCAAGAACGAGACGACGGGTCTTGGGGGCCCACAATGACGCTCGTCGCTTATGCATCCGTGCCGCTCGTCTCTCATCCTCGATCACCGCTCCGTCCCCCTTGGATGCCCTGCTTTCGGCAAGCCTGGCCTCCCTCATCTGGTAGTCGTAGTTGATGGCACGCATCAAGGCGCCGAACTCCTGCCGCTCGCCGAGCTCGACGCAGCCGTTGGAGACGGTCAGGAAGCGCTCGCCGTCGGCCGTGGTGGCCATCAGCTTGTAGGCGGTGCCAACATCGTTGCGCCAGACACATCGTGAGATAGCTCGGAGCGTGATAAGGCGCCCCCCCTTGGCACGAGGGTCCTTGGCGGAAATCGGCATGCGCTGCAACTCATTGCGGACTTGGCGTGCCGCCTCAGACATGAAGTCCTTCATGCATCTCCACTGGTAGACCGCAGGAAATCGATGTAGTTGTGCAGCATCGAGAAGCTGACCGAGAATTTCACCATAGCGCGGATCTCGAAGGACGTGCTCTGGTATGCCTGTCTGTTCACTCTGGCGGGCTCGATCCCTAAGATGCAGGGTGATCGGCGTGTGGTCGCTGAGCCTGGAGTCCGAGATGGCGGCAGCATCAATATCCACCTCCGCGATCACCTCAACGTCGAGCAGGTAGTACGCTGGGGTGGCAATGAAGAACCTATCCAGTGTAGCCGCCGTGGACGTATCTCTGCAGTAATGTGTAGGGCAGTCCGTGGAGATCTCCGTAACCATCGCAAAGAGTCTTTCCCAGAACGCTTGCAAAGGTTGAGTGCCCCGAGCCGTCTCAGCAGGCAGCGTTCCTGGCGTGAATGTCTGAGAAACAGGATCGGTGTAGCTACGTGTAGGACCTGACTTGACATTGAAATCTCCAGCAGCCACAAACGCTCTAGTAACAGGGTTCTCAATATTCCATTGAACCATGTCCTTCCATGTGTGCGCAATCTTGGTCTGGGCAATGATGTCCAACTCGAAGTTGTGTACGTTCATGATCTTCATCGTGAAGTTGTCGGCGGCGTTGTGTATTGTGAGAAGGGCCACCCTTCCCGCGGCCAATATCTGATGGTCAAAGAACACCTGAGGGTCCTCCTGGTCACGATCTGCCATTGGCACCAAGAATGCTGTGCCTCCCGCCTTCTGCGAGAGGTGATTGTAGAAGATCTTGTAAGGGTATGGATACGTAGCGAGGGCCGCCTGCAATTTAGGTAGTGTTCCACGGCATTCCTGCAATAAGATAACCGCTTTCTTACGCATGAACGAGACAAGTTTGTTCATCTTGGCTTTGCGGCGCCTTGGACGATAGCAAATCAAACTCCTGGCATTCCACGATATGATGGTACCATTGCGCATTGACGGTGATGTTGACCAGGGTGACCACCTTCTGCTAAATAGACCACGAAGATGTGTCCACGCTCGCGAATGCCTGTCCAAATGCAGCCACCAAAGGTTGTTTGTCAATCTTGAATCGTGCGAGGATTGGCATGTCCCAGCGTAGCTTGGATGGTTCATCAGGGCCCTTGACTTCGACAACGACGAGCGGCACTGCATCAATGGTGACAATGCCCTTGCTTCTCTGGGCGCCGATGTGGTGATCGTGGTATGCGTCCTGAATGATGCGCTGCAAACGCTTGGTCTGAAGTTCGAGTCTGACCTGCTTGGGGCTCTTGTCTCCGCTGACATAGATGGGCGTGTTGACCCCACCGGTGTCAAACCCGCTGAAGGTGCGGAAGCCAGTTGACGTCTTGAGGGCACGAGAGAGAGCGAGGGCTCGCCCATGTGCTGCTGCTCCACCTTGAACTTGCATATGAAATCGCCGCTGAGGTACATCACCGTGAAGAATAAGCTGGTCCACTGGAACACCCGACGCCTGAATCCACTCCGCGAGCGCTGCTTTGATGGCAGCTGGTGCAATCGCCCTGGGGGCGCCGATGCTGAATACTGTGGGGTCCAAGGAGGAGGAGGAGGAGGAGGAGGAGGAGGAGGAGAAGAAGGAGGACACCCTTACCACCGAGTCCCTGCCCCCATCCTGCGGCTCGAAACCGCTGCGCGATGGAGGAAGCGCCAAGAGGAGGAGGAGGACGAGGAGGAGGACGAGGAGGAGGAGTAAAATGATGATGATGATGATGATGATGATGATGATGATGATGATGATGATGATGATGAGGAAGAGGAGGAGGAGGAGGAGGAGGTGAAGGCGGGGGAGGAGGAGATAGGAGGAACGATGGCTGAGGCTGAGGATGGGGGGGGAGGGGTAAGAGGAGGAGGACCAGTGCAAATTCAAGACGCATTGACGATGTTGCAATGAACCCTCCCTCCAAGTTCCCTCTCTTGGTCTATACAAACAATTACCCACTGCGAAGAATGCCTCATTGGAAAACAACCGTCTGATAATCCCCAACCGTACAAAAAAAAACACTTCCTGGAACGTAACCGCCGCGAACCAACGTGCAGGTTGCGCCCTGACATCCCCGAACACTGCCAGAACACTCTTCCTGGGAGTTTGACCGGACGAATCACTGAACTGGCTGAGAACTTTTGATATCGAGTGCGTGCGGCGCTAGAGCGAGAACCGCATTTTGAAACAAAGCTACCCTCACTGGCAACTGTTCACACGAACGTACGGGCGCTAAAACGAGCACCGCAATATTGAAAATGGCCCGCCCTCCATCCTTGAAGCTGGTACGAACCTTTAAGACGAATGTGCGCGGCCCCAGAGAACCACAGTTTGAAACAGCCCGCCCCCAACCGCAAAACTGCTGCAAATCTTTAGGACGAATGTGCGCGACGAGAACGCGAAAACCACATTTTGAAAACGGCCCGCCATCGATCCGTGAAACGGTTGAAACGGCTGAAGCGAATAAGCGCGGCGCTGTGGCGAAAACCACATTTTGAAAAAGGAACCGCCATCCATCCGCGAAGCTGCTGCAAGCTTCAAGCTTCCGAAACATACCCGTTCAAAAAAAAAGGCGAAACGCCCGGCCCGCCCTACCGACAGGCCAGGGGGCGCGACAGGGTATTCTGCAGGAAAACATGGAGGAGGACGAGGACGAGGAGGAGGAGGAGGAGGAGGAGGAGGAGGAGGAGGAGGAGGATGGCCGCGAGTCGGATGGGCGCGTCGATCCGCCCCCGCCCCCGCCCTCGCCACCGCCCCAGGCGGCAGGCGACGAAGGCCCAGAAGCCGCGGGACGCACACCCAGACACTACGCGTAGTGTCCTAGCAGACAGCCCAGCCGCTCAGGCCAGAGGGCTCAGGCGACCGCGACACCCCAAGAGAACGGATCCCACGAACGGATCCCGAGGCGGATCCAGCAGGGCGGGGAGGGTTGCTGGGCCGCCCTGGCCCGGCGCCCCCGCCCTCCGCACGCGCCGCGCCCGCGCGGCAGGCCGCCAGCAGGAAGGCGGCCTTGCTGCCGATGGGAAAAAGGAGGAGGAGGAGGAGGAGGAGGAGGAGGAGGAGGAGGAGGAGGAGGAAGAGGAGGAGGAGGAGGAGGAAAAGGAGGAGGAGGAGGAGGAGGAGGAGGAGGACCTTTACCTTTACCTTTACCGATGGTGCGTGGTGACTGGCAGCAGGGCTAAGCACGCGCAGCAAAGTTACACATCAAGGAACCTCCCTCCAGATTTCGGAGGTTTCCCTTTTTTCCCGGTTCCCGAAGGTTTCTTTCCAAGCTGTTGTGGGTGGGCCGCAAGGGTCCTTCAAACCTTGTGGGAAAAAGCACAATGCCGACCACAAGCGTCACAATACAAAACCCCCCAAGACAGGCAAGTTCGTGATAAGGGTGGCACAGCTCAACAACAGGATGATCGAGACCCCCACCCACCCCGCCCTCAGGAGGCCCCAAGTCATCAGGGAGGCCCTCATAACCTCGCCGCGGGTGTGATGCCTGCCGCGGGGGAAGGGCACGAATTCGCTGCAGAACTTCATAGCGAGGCTTACAGACAGGAGGCCAGAATTCGCACAAAGTGAGCACTTCAACGTCGCTGTGGCCCGAGTCCCGCACCCGACAGAGCCTCTCGCCAAGGCTGCGCAAAGAGGTCTTCGCACGACTGCATTGCGGGCGATGTCGGGGCTCACGGTCCGAGGAAAGCAGCTCCAACAACCTTGGAAGCCCGCTCACCAGCCTGGACCGTAGTCCTGGCGTGGGGATCTGACACCTGGCCAGCATCAGCGGCCTTGCCCGCGAAAAAAACAGCAGACCGACTGGGATCGACCTCTTCAGGGGTCATGCACATATGGAAAATCTCGGAACGGGGGGGGGTGACCTTTTGTCCATCGAACTTCAACGGTGCCGCCGCGGGACCTCTAGGTCCTATGGTAGACTGCCCCGGGGTCCAACATGAAGGGCTTCGCTTTCCGTTTGAGAGAATCCCTGACACCGCGAACCACAGCGAGACAATCACAGTAGATCTTCACATCACCAATAGACCTTTTGAGCACCTGGATGAAAGAGAAAAAAGCTCGGCACGGCCAGCGGTCTGGGCCACGGTGGGCAAGGTCCCGCTGACAACTCCATCAATACATGAATCGGCACCTTGGTGGGCGACCGCCCAGCCACAGCTCCTGAATCTCCAGTCCAAGTGATGTTTACCCCCCGACCCACCGATCGCCCAAACCCCTCCGTGTATCTTAGCTCCGTTTCCCAACGCCCCCCGTGTCCATCCCTTGTGCACAGGCGCAGGTAGGTGGCCACAACAGGCACTGAGAGGCGGCAGGCCACGGAGCCAGAAACTCACAAAGTCGGGGCCGGCGACAGGATCAGCTCAAACTGTCCGATCGATGTTTCGTTTTGCTGAAAGCTTCCGCAACAAGATCCCAACATAGAGCAACTTCCATGCGTCGTTTATGACCCAAGTCAAACCAAACCGAATGGAAAGCAGTCAGCTGCTCATAGCGAAGCCTAAACTGGAGGCCATCTTTGGCTGAGCTCACTATTCCCAGGACCGAGGTCGTGCAGGCCCCAGGGGTCCACCAACCCGAGCACATGGCCGCTTGGGCCCTCATAAATTGGCTCTGGCCCCCAGAGATGCTAAGGGCCCGGTGACTCCGGGAACCGACCGCCAGAGCCCCAGGTTTGTAGAATTTCCTAGCCCTACCAACAACGCGACTCAGAAAGGCGACCTTCTTGGCCGTCCTGGAGGCCTGGCAGCGCCGCTGCTTCAATTTAAGAGTGAACCTTTTCTTGCCAGCCGTCGTCATGACCCCCAGATCGCGCGCTGAGTCCTAGAGCTTGATAGGGGGGCCAACTGCTCTACATTTCGCCGCAAGCCGCTTGCCCAGGCTGCTGAGGCTACACGCCAGGGCAGACTTGGTCGAGATAGTGCACCCAAGGCTCTGAAGCTGATGGGTGAGATGCACAGCAGCAGGAAAGAGGGCGGCGATTATGTCATGTGCAGTGCCACGTTGGGATTGCGCGGTGTCATCAACATATCCTGCCACTTGCACTGGTTTGTAACAAACATGAGCACAGTCAAGGGTCTCGTAAACATCATTTTTTACCCAGGACATGGCCTGCATACAGCCTGCTAAAACTCCACTCCTCCCTTCAATGGTATCAGAGACAGAACCGCCAACTTCAAGGACAAGTGGGTCTTCATGAGTAATGATGCCTAAATGGAACAAGGGCAAAGGATCCTCCATCTTGACCGCAAACTTGATCAGCTTGCGCGGCTTCACAGAGTCGAAGAAAAACCGGGTCAGGCCCCAGCGCGCACCAACCGAGCGCAGGCCGAGCATTCTGGCGAGCCCGTGCCCTAGCTCTCGCAGAAGACCGCGAAGTTCTGGTACGTCAGTGTCCCCAAAAGTATACCTTTCCTGGCTCCATTGTTCCATATCGTGGTTACGAGTTTCGCAGTAAACTCGATAAAGGGTGGGGCATTTGCAAGTTGGCCTGTCACATGCAATGCTCTTAGGGATGAGAGCGATCACGCTCGGCAGGACCTGGGCAGGCTACATCATATGTCGTTCGCACTGGTAGGGGAGGCACTTGTGCCCCACAACAGCATCGCTGGGGAGGTCCAGGACACTGCGGCGGGGGGGGGGGGGGGGGGGGGGCAATGATCAACCCCGCCGGCAGCCTCAGCCGAGAAGCATCTGGCCCCCTCCCCAAAAAAAAAACAACAACAACACTAGCGGTGAGCGGTTCAAGCTGCTCGACAGCAAAGCTCAACGCAAGGGGCCTCAGAGTGCCCAAAACTCA